ATAAGGTGCACTTAAAATTCTTAAATTTTCTGAAAAATCGACAGTGTGCCTTAAGTATTAATTCTGGTTGTGCTTACTGATCTCGAACTGATTTTATGTGGTACACAGCGCTCAAAAATTTTATGTTTTAGTACGACTTTGGTAAACTTCAAAGCTGCACCACTTGATGGACTGTTGAAGCATTAAGGCTGCAGTAGTCAGGAGCCTTGCTGAGTAATACACATTCATTAAGACAGGGAGGCGACGCCGGGCGTGTTGCGCTTTCACGAAAGACCGGAATCATCACTGAACAGCTAAGTAACAGCAACAAGACTGAGTCGGATAACAACGAGAGAGATCCGGACTTGATGCAGAAATTACCCAACTGTTAAACTCAGACACTGAAGATGATAAATAAGATGGATTTGTGGAAGAGGAATGAACTGAAAAAGCAGGTGTATTGTATTGTATTTTATGTGTTACAGCTGAACAGTTCTGAGAGTTCTTGTGAATGAGTTGAATAAAGTTTGACTTATCTGACTGTTTTGTTTCTCTTAATGTGCCTTATAATCTGGTGTGTGTTATATATGAAAATAGATGAGAGAATTTAACATTATTGATAATGCACCTTATAACCCAGTGCACCTACAGTCTGAAAAATACAGTAAATGGAAAACTACTGCTTCATGACATCACAAGGTGGAACAAAAGCATTTTCAGCTTTGGAGATGTAGACAGACAAATAAAACATTGTTACTCAAACATGTGTGAATGAAACAAAACACTGAAACAAAAGATTATAATATGTCTTAAACCTCACAACAGTAAATTGTGTGTAATATACGACCTTTAACAAAGGCCAGTGCCAAAAAATGTGGGAAAAAAAATAAATAAAAGATACAAATAAGTGTACAAATAAAAACATATTTTTGGACCAAATATTGTGAATGGAATCGGGGCTGAGCTGTACTTAAATCAGATTAGAGTCAGCGTTTACATGTGGCAGAGTGTGACGTGAGCCGTGCTGTGGTAATCTCATCATCTGTTTTTATTTCACACGCAAATCAAAACAGGTCCTCCCTTTCCCACAGTTTCCCGCTTGTTTGTGTGTGACAGGCCATTTAACACAGTCTACCAACAGAGTCATTTCTGTATCCGATATATGACATTTCACCTGACGTCACACCACAACATCTGCAGATTAACCAGACGCGTGACCTGACCCCGTCTCAGTCTGACACTCCAGGATGGGAGGGCATCTGACACACAGGGTTATAGGATAGGGTGACCATATTTCCATTTGTGAAAACCCGGATACCTTACCAGGGGTGGGAGGTGGGGCCTCGACATTGAGCTACAGTCGTCCCTCACTATGTCACAGTTCACCTTTCGCAGTCTCGCCATTTTGCTGATTTTTTCTTTTTTTTCTTTTCTTTTTTTTTTTTTTTTTTTTTACACACAGGCGGGTCAGGACTAAACCAGGTCTAAACCAGGACTAATCTTGGACTTAAGAGGGAGAACGCTGAGCAGTTTGTCTGCAAAGCGCGATTGGACAATTGCCGCGTTTACCTCTATGAGGTGCGGAACTCTGCATCAGCCCTTTCTCCGAGCTCGTTCCGACAGTGAGTCCTGTTTTAGTTCAGGTTTAGTCCTGTTTTAGTCCTAGTTCAGTCCTGGATTAGTCCTCCTCTTCAGTCCTGGAATCGGTCTTAGGTTAGTCTTGGTTTTGTCCAGTCTGTGGTGTAGGCAGCGCAAAAGTTTGATATAATCACAGGTTAACGGGCAGGTGCGGCGTTGTACTGCGCGGGTGCGGCGTTGTACTGCGCGGGTGCGGCGTTGTACTGCGCGGGTGCGCCGTTGTACTGCGCGGGTGCGCCGTTGTACTGCGCGGGTGCGCCGTTGTACTGCGCGGGTGCGCCGTTGTACTGCGCGGGTGCGCCGTTGTACTGCGGGTCTCCAAAAAATGGAGCCGTGCAGGACTCTGTGCTGTAGGTTCCATTACGGGATAAATGAATCTTGGGTTTGTTACATAAAGAAGGAAGAAAATAACATAAGGATGACAGCAGCAATAAGTTTTAAGAAGGATGTAAAAAGGGTTGCACCTGTCCTGTCTGAGAAAAGTGTATAAAGTTTGTGCTGAGGGGTTTTACAGCCTTAAAACAGATGTAATAATTGTAAAATATAAAGTTGACTACTTTGCAGATTTCACCTATCACGGGTTATTTTTAGAACATAACCCCCGCGATAAACGAGGGACACTGTACTCTCACCTCACAAACTGTGCACATGGCCTCTCACTTGTCCCGACCGGGATGGAAAACTGAGAATTTCATGTACAAGTCATTGTTAAATGCGCATTTGTGCTTCGGCATGTTTCAGACTGACCGAATGTTTGTGTCTCACTCCTTCTTGTCACAGAGAGCTACAAGAGCCGCTCAGTTTAATGCCCCCAATGAAAGGTAATGAAAACCCGAACATTTCCATCACTTAAAACAGAAAAAAAAAAAAAGACCCGGACGCCCTGGACAAGAGGCAAAATACGAAAATGTCCTGGGAAAAACGGATGTTTGGTCACCCTGTTATAGGAGGATGGGAGGGCATCTGACACACAGGGTTATAGGAGGATGGGAGGGCATCTGGACGTGTTGTGAGTTGCCGAGAGGAGGAGGAATGTTGAGAATGTTTCTGTTGCGTTTGTAAATAGAGCTTGATAGAACTTACAGGACTAAACTCTGACAGCTCTGTTCTGAAACACGCAGAGCTGAGGATTCCCAGCATTCCTGAACACAACCCTGCATTTACCATCCAGAACAGGGCCGCTCCTACACTGCTGTTTCTGGGGTCACTTGTTTAACTGTTTTTTATAACTAAAGAACATGCCATCAGTACATTTGGTAAAATTACAGGATTGGGTAGGTGTCGCAACAAGATACAACTAATTCTTATCACAAAATGTCAGAATTTTCTTAGAACTACAACTTATTTCCGTGGCAAGTCCAGACTCATGCCTCTGTGTATTTTCCATACAGAGGGATATGAGTCTGGTAGACACGTCCCTAAAGCCAAAACCAATCAGAAGTTTTTATATCAGTGATTCAAGCAACAAAACGAAAATTACATTGATTGCTCATTGATTCTGCAAATATCTGCCCTGTTTTCCAGTCCCTGTTCTTTTTTTGTCCTTTCTTTTTTCCTCATAATCAGACATATTTATTTTGATGCACAACAAGTCGCAAGTCCCTGATCCTCCTGTTAATCACACCCATCTGAACTTGGCCAGATTTACCAGTCACCAAACTCACATTTTTACAAAGTACTGATACTTTGCAGCTGATCATCAACATTCCCTGGGGGTGTGAAGTTAACTGGAAGCATTACTCTGTCTAAAGCTCTATTAGACTTTAATCTGAGCTTTGATTTTTTTACACAGTCTGACCAAAAACTGACTTACTGTAAATTCCGGACAATAAACTGCTACTTTTTTTCTCACACGTTGAACCCTGTGGCTAATAAAACGGTGTGGCAAATATATGGACATAATCTTTGATTGGAATTAATTCGTATTTACGGTCTATGGTTTGGTAACTCAGCGGATACACACAGCCTGAGCGCAGAAAACGCCGCTGACTGTGCAATGGATCTAGGGTTAACATGAAGCTGCTACACGAGCTCGCGATATTGTCAGTGCACTTAAATAGTTTATTGCCGTGTGATAAAATAAGTTGATAAGCTAATACTAAATGAACATTAGTGAGGGGGATACGTCTTGTAAAACACGAGAAGAAACATCTCAAACTTCAGTAGCCGGACATCCACTCATACCTGATTGATACAACTATCCCCGCCACCGAAAGAGTCTGAAATCTGCTGAAATCCTCCAAAACACTGACATGAGACAGACAGGACAGCAGCTACAAGAGACGTGCAGTAGAGTGCGGGGAGAGACGGGGTGATGATGCGCCGAGGAAGATGCTCGTTTGATTGTGTTTTGAACAGTTATTTTGTGCTTCATACACGCACCCTCCTCATGGAAAAGAAATGCAGATGATGGAGTTAGAAGTTAAAGGCAAAGGCTGTCGAAGAAGGAAACAGAGCTGCTGCACGTGAGCTCGGCATCAATGAGTCGATGGTGAGATTTTGGCGACGGCAAAAGGACGACAAAAGCTTTCAGAGGCGATAAAAGCAGGCGGCCGAACTTGAAAACGTTCTTGAAGATGTGGACACCTGTGGCTTGTATTCAGATGTGACCAGTATATGTACAATTAAAAAAAAAATTTATCAAATTTAGTTGATGCGGCTTATATTCAGGTGCGCTCGATAGTCCAGAATTTACAATCCTTAAAACTACAACAGGTGATCTGATTTATGCTGTTAAACAAATCCCTCACAAAATGTAGTTAATTTGATGAAGTGAGATTCAGGAGCAGGACCACGCCTCAGCCGCCCTCTCCTCACACCAGCGAACCACAACTCACCTCGACCACACCTCTAATTTCCCAGAAGCCTATATGTAGCAGCATTTCCCATCATCCCAGTTTGTCTCGGCTAACTCGATCCCACCCTCCTATCCACTTTTGGCTTTCAGTCATAAGACTCCTACAAGAGGGTCCAGTTCCGGCTGGGCCAAGTGCAGATTGAGACGGAGCCCCCGCCCATAGTCTCAACCCAGCCATCTCTGCCTCACTTCGTACATTATCAATAAACTTCTTCGCACTATGTTGTTGTTGGCGTGGTCCTAGCTAGTGAATTAGTTTTAAATCACAGTCACAATCTTGCATTAGTCGACAGTTTTTCAGTTAGTCACTCTGACATTTTTGTAAAATATCAAGCTCCTAAACAGAACGCTTGAACTGATCACAGACTCCTGACAATGTGACGTTTAAATCCACTATGTTTGTTCTTTTCTTTTCAAAATATCAAATTCTGCCATAGACATACATGTAGAACTCTCCCAGCCTGATGTGTGTGCTCTGTGCCCCACACGACTGCTCTTCACTACAGGGCTTTGTCTTTGTACTTACGGCACTTTCTGTCGGCAGTAGATGAACAGGCCGATGGCGAGCGCGACCGCCGCCAACACCCCGATCACGATCCCGGCGATGGCTCCGTCCGACAGGCCGTCGTCCAGCTCGCCCTCTCCTGGACACAACAAGAACATCAGGACCACTGCACTGTCACAAAGGACACCATGAGGACAAGGGTATACGGAAGACAAGTACAATGGGTTTAGGGTTTTGGTTTGTCCATTAATCAAATAAAAGGAACAGAGAATAATAAAAAAGAATAAATGTCATCTTCAGAAGTGAAAAATAGGTTTAAACTCTCTCCTTTCTGCTGGGGCCCATAGAAATCTTTTCAGTCCTAAGAAAATAATAAGTCGACTAATCAAAATTTTGGTCGGCTATCGGGGAAAACAAAGTAGTAATAAGTTTCACTTTTGTTTTTGATGCTCTGAGACTCACAGCACAAATTAGACTCCAGGTATGTTTTTTTTTTTTTTTTTTTTTTTGACGAGAAAACAATATTATAATTTGGTTAAAAGCTTCAAAAGTCTGTTGTTGGGAGAATCTAAGATCTAAGACATCTGAGGATAGATTGGTCCAAACCAGAAGAAATACATTTTGAAATCTTTGAAATCTTTATACTAAAATAAGTGTTGCCTTCTCCTTTGCTCTCATTTCTGTTCTACTGACATTTTTCAGATGCCGCTTTGAGATTGCCAGTTTAGATCATTTTACCACAGAAAAGGAAGAGGGTGCAGAGATCTTCCTGTTCAAATAATCTGTGTTCAACTGAGCACAACTCTCCACTACTCTGCTCTGCTCTGCTTCTCCTCTGCTCCTGTCTGCTCCTGTCTGCCCCCTCCCTCTCCGTCTCACCTCTGACGGTGAGCACGTGGGTCTTGGAGGTGGTCTCCCCGGTCAGAGCGTTGTAGGCTTCACACGTGTAGTTTCCTGAGTTGGTGAAGTCGGCTTTGGCGATGATGTAATGGCTGGTGGTGACGTCGGTCTTGAAGCCGTTGATTTTCCAGGTGTAATTGGCCGGCGGGACGGAGGAGGCGGAGCAGTCCAGTTTGAACGGGTCGTTCACCTCCACCTCTGACTCTCCGCTCAGCACCACGGGCTCCGGTCCATCTGAGGAGAGGGGAGGGGGTTAGGGACAGGGACACAAAATGGCCACCAATAATAATAATAACTCACTGAACACTGGGTTTTATTTCATTCAACAAATCCAGCAACATAATGTGATCTGGGATGGAGGTCACTTTACAATATAGGACTAAACCAGGACTACACATGGATTAAACACAGACTAAATCAGGACTGAGCCAAGACTAAACCAGGACTGAATCGGGACCTTCACAAGTTTAAACAAATAAATAATTAAATACTAAATCAACAACATGCAACACAAACTTCTGAGATGTGAGTAACTTTATAATATAGGACTAAACAAGGACTAAACTAGGATTAAAGCAGAACTAAACCAGAACTACACCAGGATTAAAGCAGGACTAAACCAGGACTAAACCAGGATTAAAGCAGGACTAAAATAGGATTAAACCAGAACTCAACCAGGTCTTAAACAGGACTAAACCAAAACTAAACCAGGACTAAACCAGGATTAAAGCAGGACTAAACTAGGACTAAACCAGGACTCAACCAGGACTCAACCAAGTCTGAATCAGGATTAAACTAGGACTAAACTAGGACTCAGCTAAAACTAACCCCAAACTCAACCAGGACTCAACCAAGTCTCAATCAGAACTAAACCAGAATTTAACCAGGATTAAACCAGGACTGAACCTGAACTCAACCAGTACTAAACCAGGACTCAATCGGGATTAAACCAGGACTAAACCAGAACTCAACCAGGACTCAACCAAGTCTGAATCAGGATTAAACTAGGACTAAACTAGGACTCAGCTAAAACTAACCCCAAATAAAACCAGGACTAACTTGAGGCAACAAAATAAAGACTAAAGCAGGCCTAAACCAAATAAACCAGAACTAGTCCTTGTTTAGTCCTGGTCTCATCTTGGTTTAGTTTCAGCTTCAGTCCCAGTTTAATCACAGTTTTGATGTGGTAATTATGTGAAATGAGAATACATATTTAACCGGGGCAAACCAGGACTGAAACAGGACTTGACCAGAATCGGGACTAAATCAGGACTAAAACAGGTCCTTTTGTACTTTTCTGTGTCATACAATCCATCTGCTTTTTGTGTAAATGTTGTTGACAAGTTGTTTAAATCTACCAAACAAAAGAATCATGTGAGTATTTGAGAGCAGATCTGTCTAACTCCTATCACTCGGGGTAGTCTTTTAATATTTGATGGCCTGAAAGAGCTTCTGAGGAACAGGAAGCACAGAGCCCTGAGCTGAGGCAGGTCCGGTCCATCTGCTCCTCACCAACATCTGAACAATGAGACGCTTCCTCCTAAAGTGGCCTCAGCTCAGGAGGACCTGCATTATTCATGACCACAAATGCATGTCAGCTTTACGTGTGTTTTATAGAGACATCGATGCAGACTTCCTTCAGCTCAGGCAGCTTCAGGATAAGGACGTGAGCAAGACCATTAATATGTGAGGATACAGGTTAAAACTCATTTCAACTCACTTTAAAGGTGCAAGGTTTAACTTTTTCAAAGGGAGAGTATTCCATCCGCTTGTCTCCATGTAGATGTTATTTCTTATTTATCTATCTATTCTGTTTAAACCTGACTTTGTTTTTTTCTTGTGAATAGATGCATCAAGAATTTCGGACTTCCTGTCATTGCGCAATGCATACTGGGAAGGATTTTCTGAAAAAATGTTGCATCAAACCATGTTTGTTTTCCCAGTGGGATGCGTCTGTTGACAAAGTCGATTTGTTCAAGCCTTTTGAACCATATCACTTTTGTTTCTGGTTCTGATATTGTCGTATTTTAGTTTTGGGATTCGGACATCGTAATTGTGTGGTTGTTGGATCCTAACAGCGAAAAATGGCTCAAGAAATTTGTTTGCGAACTCCATAAATGCAAAAGGAATCAGATGTGTGTGACTGCAAACCTCCGTTTAAACTGTTTCCCTTCCCAACGGAATTGAAAAATAGTGAAAGGTGAAGGCGATGGGCAGGATTGATCCACAGGAAGGATGAAAAAGGAAACCTTTGACTGCCTAAGTCTGTCATATTACTGTGCACTATGTTTTAAATTCAAAATAGACCACGCCAAAGATATTTTCAAGCCCTGAAATTCAAGTCGGAATTCAGAGAGGAAAATTTGCAGTGAAAATTTTTACAGCAAGGATCCAAGATGCCAAGGCAGAAGCAATCGGTCATGTGAGCGAGGAGGACAGAGGCTGGTTCCTATTGGCTGTTCTCATCTGTGGGCGGGGTTTACACTACAAATCAAACAAATAAGGTTTTGATGAGGCTAATTCTGACCGATCAGATCACTTCACTGCACCATTTCCTGTTTGTTAGTAAGTTAGATCGGATCACTTTGGATCGATTGCTTAGACCTTGACATCTTTCCTGCAAATTGTTTTGTTGCAAATTTTACATTCTGAATTTTGACTGTTGAATTTAAAAGGTGATTTTTTTTTTTTTTTTATATATATATATTGAATTTTATACACTTTGAAAATGTACACTTAAAATTTCAGAAACTAAAATTCATAACAAAAATAATTCAAACATGTTTTTTCAGAGTTTAAAAAATTCAAAGTGAGAATTTCAACAACATTTAAAATTCTAAATCTGATGAAACAAGTTATCGTCCATAATCCTCCATCTCCTGACCTGTAACCGTGGGTCAAATGCAGAGGCTACAGTCCCAAAGTCCATTGTACCTTCCTCTCTCCTCATTGTTCTGACAGTTGTAATCATTTCAGTGAAGCATGTTTGGGATTCCTGTCTTTCAGATGATCCGTTTTGGAAGATGCTCTCATTTCATTTCAGGAAAAACACTGCAGGCAAAACCTGTGTTTCCATGTTCAGGTTTGAGCCAGTCCAACGTGTCAGCTGTCCTCACTGATTTATGTGGGAGAATCCTCAGTCTTCTGCAGGGCTTAGGTCCACAAAGTCAATATTTATAAGAAGATTAACCCCAAAAGAGTATTTTGAGACTTTAGCTGATCCTTTCTCACACTGACATTACATTACACACTACACATTTATGGGCTCTCACTAAAAGAGATCAGGAAAAGGTGAAGAGTCATGAAGAATATTTGAATATGAAGCCAAAAAAATCGAACTTTTGTCACATCGAGTTGAGAGAAAAGCACAGACATTTTCTCTGTCCACAAATACACAAAGAGCTTCCCCCTGTGCCTTTGTCACAAACTAGAGAGTCTGTGTTTCGGCTAAAACAGGCTGAAGTATGTTATGCCTGTCTGCGTCGCCATGTTTGTTTTGATTAATTTGGCACTTCACGTTTGGCTCCACCCAAACCTCAACACTGCTCTGTGATTGGTCATCGGACAGAGCAGCCACTGGGTCCTATCGTTGTTAAGTGCAATGTCACTTTTGGATCCATGATAGGTGGAATACGGCAAAACAAAAACAAATGAATGAAATGAAAGTGCCAGTTGGGCTCAGAAGTGACATCATAGCTTCCCAGATCTATCACGCCAGTGGGAGCACGCCAGGTTTGTGAACTCACAAAATATCACCAGAATCCATCTTGCTGTTCAAGGTTAGTGCTGGTTTAGTCCTGGTCTGACATATGAGGCAAAGCGGGCGTGTCAGCGTGTTTGAGCATAAATGTAGAAAATGCCCCGGAATGATCACAGCCCATTTGTATCATTTCCAGCAGAGAGACGAAATACTCGCTGTGGGTCGCAGACAGACAAATCTTGTGCTCACTGCTTTCCTTTAGTGCAGATGAGTACACACTACCACGTCAGACAGGGAGGAAAGGAAGCCACAGAAGAACATTTACATTTTATTTTGACAGCACCCAGAGATCCTGGGACAGGTGTCTGCGCAGACGTCTGTGCATGTGTCTGCAGAGGGCGGGCTTTCTGTGCCATGTGCAGAATGAGCCATTTACACACAGGCCCCAACAAATCCACAACACCATCTCTGTCGTGATGATGTTTACGGCAACGTCAGCTCCCATTGAGCACTGTGTCTTTCTAAAATGGTAGTCTGCGGACTGTTTCTTGAATTAAATTGTTTTAGATGGATATTGCAGTTTAAAATGTGTAAATAATAACATAATGATCCATGGGTGTTGTACATTTGAACTACATAACAGACTCAAGCACAATATGTGATCGTTAAAGCAACACAGACGAGCACAAAGTCACAGATCACAGACAGTTTGATACTCACAGATCACAGACAGTTTGATACTCACAGATCACAGACAGTTTGATACTCACAGATCACAGACAGTTTGATACTCACAGATCACAGACAGTTTGACCTGGGCTGCCTCGCTGCTGACCGGGTTGGACAGTGTGCATGTGTACTCTCCATTGTCCTCCTTCTGCACAGGGTTGATTTGGACAGAGCGCTTGTTTGCCCCCAAAACCACTCTGTCACTAAAGGTCAGCGGAGCTCCGTCCTTCAGCCAAACCACGCTGTCCACAGTGCCCTTCGCCGCCGCACATTTAAGGTCAGCCGAACTGTTCCCCGCAAACAACTGCTCTGAGGGAGCGGACACTTTAACGTCCGAGAGAGGCTCTGAGAACAGAAGAGGAGCAGAGGGTCAAGACTAAGGCAGGACTGAACCAGGACTAAAGCAGGACTGAAACATGATTGAACCAGGACTGAACCAGGACTAAACAATGATTAAACCAGGACTAAACCAGAACTAAACCAGGACTAAACATTGATTTAACCAGGACTAAACCAGAACTAAACCAGGACTAAACATTGATTAAACCAGGACTAAATAGACTCCATTTAAGTAACTCCATATAATATATGGATAGATAATTTCATTATTTCAACATCATAGTAATTGTGCACCACTTTAGAAACTGCTGAAACTTGCTTTTAAAATGTGCCATCGATAAAATACTGAAATATCCATGAACCCCTTGCATTTCAGAACATGTTCACAGAGGTCTAAACTACAGGATTTAGAGCTGCTCGATGATGGAAAAAAAGTCATTATCATGATTATTTTGGTCAATACTGAAATCATGATTATTTAAATGCATTTATTCAGCATTTCTCTCTCAAAAAACAAAACAAAACACTTTGTTAATGACATTTTACGCAAATCTTTCAATGTTATAAATAAGGCTGTGCAATTAATTGAATTTTGATCGCGATTTAGATTTGTGTCAAACAATCTCCAGACTCATATAATCCAGATGAAACAATTTAACAATTTAATATTTAAGTATATTTATTTTATTTATTTTTTTAATAGAGAGATTGTAGAACAGCTGGAAATACAGTTTATTTTGGATACATTTATGTTTTTCTAGGCCTCATTTCATGTTCAAAGTTCAAAGTTTATACTTCATAAAACTGCTCTAAGGTTAATATTTGTAGCCTATATTTCTATAAATTATCACTAACAAAGTGTGTTGTTTTTTTTGGTTTTTTGTTTTGGTTTGTTTGTTTTTTTAGAGAGAAAAATACTGTCCATCGTGTAAAAAAAAAAAAAAAAAAAAAAAAAAAAAAAAAAGAATAACGTGATTTAAATATAAATCAAAATAATAGTGTGAGTGATTTTTGTCCATAATCGAGCAACTCTAGCTACAAATCTGAACCTTAGAGCTATTTTGTAAAACATGAATAATGAATGAATCAAATAAACTTTGAACATGAAATAAGGCAGAAAAACATAGATGTATCCAAAATAAACGGAACGGAACACAGCTGAATCAGAATGAAAATGAAACTATTCACAAGAAATCAATCATCAAGACTAATTCTTTCATAACATTTTCAGATTTAGTTTGTGTAAAAGCTGTGAGTCCTGTTAAGGCTGTGCAATGAAATGCATTATAAATAAATAAATAAATAAATAAATACATATTTAATAAATATAAAAAAATATAAATATATATATATATATATATATATATATATATATATATATATATATATATATGTGTGTGTGTGTGTCTTTTTTGTCTTTTATTGATCCTAAATGTCCTATTTATAGCTTAAGGCCAATCTTTAGTTTTTTTCCTGTGAATTTCCAGTGATGTGCCTCTGTCCCAAACTAGTCCAACAGGTCTGAGGGTCTCAGACTTGTGAATAATTTAGACGTGGTGTGGAAAAGCCCGTGAGGTTTGGTCGTTCGTCTTGACTGTCACTGAACGCTGCTAACAGCGCTAACAGCGCTAACAGCAAACCTCACCTGGGGCTAAAACACTCACTTCCTGTTGTGATTCAGGCCACGCCCACAAAACTCCCTCGAGGCAGAAGATGATCCTCCACCCGCCCGGTTTCACCCGCCACAAAAACACCACCCACACTACTGCAGCTGCAAATACTACTACTACTACTACTACTACTACTACTACTACTACTACTACTACTACTACTACTACTACTACTACTACTACTACTACTACTACTACTACTACTACTACTACTACTACTACTACTACTACTACTACTACTACTACTACTACTACTACTACTACTACTACTACTACTACTACTACTACTACTACTACTACTACTACTACTACTACTACTACTACTACTACTACTACTACTACTACTACTACTACTACGTCTACTGAAGCTATTTCTACAAATACTACTAGGCCTAGAACTACTGTGGCTGCTTCTATTACTACTACTACTACTACTACTACTACTACTACTACTACTACTACTACTACTACTACTACTACTACTACTACTACTACTACTACTACTACTACCACTACTACTACTACTACTTCTACTGAAGCTATTTCTACAAATACTACTAGCCCTAGTACTACTGTGGTTGCTTCTATTACTACTACTACTACTACTATTACTACTACTACTACTACTACTACTACTACTACTACTACTACTACTACTACTACTACCACTACCACTACTACTACTACTACTACTACTACTTCTACTGAAGCTATTTCTACAAATACTACTAGCCCTAGCACTACTGTGGCTGCTTCTATTACTACTACTATTACTACCAGTAATACTACTACTACTACTACTACTACTACTACTAGTAGTAGTAGTAGTAGTAGTAGTAGTAGTAGTAGTAGTAGTAGTAGTAGTAGTAGTGCCATTATTACTACTTCTACTACTGAGGTTGTTTCTACAAATAGTAGTAGGTAGTTTTGACTTGTTTAGATCTGGTTTAGATTTGGTTTAGACCTGGTTCAGTCCTGGTTTAGTCCTGGTTTAGTCCTGGTTTAGTCCTGGTTTCCTCTATGGTAAAAAGGGGAATGTGTGTATTCAAAATAAGCCCATATCTTACTTTGCATTTCTCCAAAACAATGCACCGTGCTGTGTGCTACAGTACACACCAGACGAGACAGAGCTAGGACAGTTACATTTACTTAATTGCATTTATTTAAATAACTTTTTTAAATAAATCAGAGGACTTCTTTTTTATATATAACTTTACTTGAATAAAAGTTGTTCTTCCTCTTTCCACTGTATGTGGCTTTTACTCTTCTCTTACTTGAGTAATTTCTTGGTGCTGCCTGATCTGTGTCACAGGTCACATGACTCAGCCCTGGTCACATGACTCTCATTCCTCCGACAGCCGTCACTCGAAATGACAGACTCCAGCTGCTCTTTATGTCCCAACAAATACTGCAAAATACTACTATTACTACAGCTAAGTGCTATTACTACTACTACAACGACTGTGTGTACTATTACTGCCACATATGAGTCAACAAACAACATGTACTGCATTTCACAACAGCTCAAGTCACAAACACAGGATGCAGGTTTCAAAATCGTGGCTACATTTAAGCATTTACAAGGCCTGAAAAATCAAATACCTGAAGTAGGGAAGAGAGTAAATGTTTCCTTTTCATCAATAATCCTATTCGTAAATATTCTGTTTAGAAACCTTCACTTCACAACATATTTCAGCATTTATCTGGTTGAAATGTGCTCTGAAAATTAGGAATGTCCCAATCCAGCTTTTTCAGTTCTAATACGAATATCAATACTTCGACTTTAAGTATATGGTGATCCCTGTTGGGCAAGTTACTTCAAAACTGTAATGCGTTATTTATGACTTGTTAGTGTTATTTCAAAGTAATTTGTTACATTACAATATTACTGTATTTAAGATGTAAGGCATTACATTACTACTGCAGCACTTTAAGTTACTCTCACCAAAATAACTGTGAAGATGCTGAACTTCTGCGCCGTATATGGACTGAACCAGGACTAAACCAGGACTGAACCAGGTCTAAACCAGAATTAAACCAGGACTGAACTGAGGATTAAACCAGGACTAAACTAGGCCTAATCAGGTCTAAGTCAGGTCTAAACCAGGTCTAAACCAGAGCTGAACCCAGACTGAACCGGGACTGAACCAGAACTGAACCAGGATTAAACCAGGTCTAAACTGAGGACTGAACCGAGGACTAAACCAGGACTAAACTGAGGACTAAACCAGGACTAAACTGAGGACTAAACCAGAGCTGAACTAGGTCTTAGCTGAGTTCTGCACTGGTCCTTTCGCCCGCGGTCACCCGACGGTCTACGCAAGAATGTCTCCAGCATTTCATCGCTGTTATCTCCATGATTTTAGCAAATGTGTATGAAGAAAAACCCACCACTTCAATCCTGGTTAAAAAAGTATTATAACACTCTTTACTTACATTTGTACCGAGTCAAATATGACTTTTTTTTTTTTTTTTTTTTTCCCCTGTAATGCCACATTACTGCGTTACAGCAAAAAGCAATGCATTACAGTAATTTGTTACTTCCATAACACGTTAACTCTCAACACTGATGGTGATACCTGATATGAACTGATAAACGTGTATGGAGATGAAAAATTCCTTAAAACACAGTTAAATTATTGCACAAGAGGCATATCTATAAGAATTCAAACATTATGAGCCATTTTAGGTCCAAATCAAACTTAAAATACTGTATTTTTGGGACTAAAAGGCACACCAGATGATAAGGCGCAATATCAATAGTGTTGAGTTCTCTCATCTATTTTCATACATAAAGTGCACTGGATTAAAAGGAGCATTAAGTGAAACAAACGGACGACACTTGAGACTGATCCTTAGCCCAGGCGTCCATGATCCATTGGCAGATCGTGGTGTAACTCGCCCGTTGTTGCCCTCCTGTCTTGGTGAATGTGGATTATGATGTGGGTGGATCTTTTTTTTTTTTTTTTTTTTTTTATGAGGAGAACTCAAATATACATTGAGTATAATGTGTTTAATGCAGCTTTTTGCACATTTGTTTACGTTTTACAGAAATTAAATTTAAAACCACATGGCTCATTTGCATAAACTAAGCCTGAAATAAACTGCTCACTCCTAGTGCGCTGAAGCATGCTGACTACGGTAGCTGTAATGCTCCAACAAACTATTAAGTGGTGCGGCTTCGTATCTTACCAAAGTCTTACAAATACCTTTTGAAAGATTTTTCAGCACCGTGCACCACATAAAATCTGTTCCAGGTCAGTAAGATCAGAATTAATACATATGGTGCCTGTCAATTTTTGAGAAAATTAAAGGATGCCTTATTAAGTGTGCCTTATAGTCCAAAAAATACTGTAGTCTTATTATAGTCTCATTATGATCATGAGCTGGTACCCTATCCAACTTTTTTTGTATCAGTGCTGATGTTTGTTACCATGTGCTTTTCTACTGTAATCTAAATTTACAACATAAATAATTGTTTTACTGCTTTAAAAACAAAACAAAAAAATGTTGATTAGTTGACTCATGCATGACACAGTCATCATTTGCAGCCCTAAGGTGGAGTCATTCGATAACCCAATAATGAAACAGATTTAATGCCATGTAATGTGGTTTTGAATTCACCTCAAAATGGTCACACTCAGAACACTGTTTGAATAATTCCGCTCCACTGCTCAGAGCTCTCACCTACTACGGTGAAGGAGATGCCAACTGAAGTGAGCTCAATCTTGGTTTTGGCGTTGTAGGCCTTGCAGGTGTACAAAGTCTTGGTTTTTCCCATGCCTTTCTTTTCGATATCACTCAGAGACAGCACGGCTCCAGACACTTCCAGGGGCGTGTCTCCGTGGAACCAGGATAAGGTGGCCGGGGGGTTGGACGGGGCCTTACACGTCAGGTTGAAGTCTGATTTGGAGGACACAAACTCGGGAGCCATAGAGATGCCCACCATGTCTGGGCCATCTGAGGAGACAAGGAGTCAATGAGTTAATCAAAAGTTGGAGACACTCCAGCTGCAAAATGAATTGCTATCAAATCTAAAGCCCAGAATCAAACATGGCCATCCAATCAGATTTGTTTATTTCAGTGACACGTGTCAAACGAAGGAGCTTATTGGTCAATCATTTTGAACCAAATGGTATTTCTCTCTCCTCAGATGAGCAGAGTTTAGTGGTTCACTCACTGATTCTGCAGAATCCTACATGTTTTTCAGTCCAGTGTCACATTTTTTGTCTTTTTTTTCCCCCTCATAAACAGCCATATTTGTTTTAATACAGACGAACAATGTGTGTCTCAGTCAAAGATACAAAGAGTGCAATTACTGAAGTGACATGAGTTCCTATGCAAAGATTATGATCAGATTTTTATTTCCCGTCCTAGATTATGATCAGATTTTTTTTTTTTTTTTTTTTTTTTTTTTCTTCCAAAATTGCTCAGCCGTAATTGAAACATACTAACCCTTACATACAGAACATACAGAAAAACACAAAACTTGGTCATAATTGTACCTTTCCTGAATAGTTTTGAAATGTTCAAAATTTCCGTCCAATATCATGCTGTGTTCCCTGCTGCTTTGAAAACGTCTTGTTGTGTCTTTAAGCAAGACAATTATCAACATCAAGAGAGTGTGAGTGGATCTGCTCGGTAAGGCTTTGCCCTCTAACCAAAAGGTCACAGGACTGAGCTTCTCTCCTGGTGAAAGGAGAAAACCACTACATACAAGTCTGTGTGCGTGAGTGTGTGCGACTGTCTGTGAGTGTGTGTGTATGCGTGTATGTACATGTGTGTGCCTGCATTAGTTTACACAGGACACTGTGGTGTGTACTTAGTGGTCACATCCCGCTGACTTACAGTAAGGTGGTTTGTTTAGAGCGGAGGGCTGATGGTTTGAGCATTACTCACACAGGAAAGAGAGGGAGGGAGAGAGAGACAGAACTAGAAGGAGAGGTAAAAAGACAGAAGGAGAGTGAGGGGAAGGCTAAAAAGGACAGAAAAGGGGAGCGAGAGAGATGAAAAAGGAGAGGCAGAGATCAAGAGAAAGAGAGGGACAACACAAAAGCGGTAAAGGTGTGAGAAAGAAAGCACGAGCAGACGAGTGGAGAGAGAGAGAGACAGAGAGAGAGGAGGTGTGTACAAGGCTAAAACAACAAAAGCAGAGGAGGAGGAGGAGAGAGGACACAGAGGTGAAGGGTCATGTTAGATCAGGGTTTGAGAGCATTAAGACTGAATGAACCTGTTCTTCTTCATGTGTATATTTTATCAAGCTGAACTCCTGTAGTTGATTAATTGGTCGATGGAGTTTCATTTTGACAAGCACAGTTTTTAACAGCAGACTCATTCATTCTTTTATCCGATTATAATATTGTACTGTAAGAGCAAAGAGGTACAAGAGAGAGCGGGTTAGCTTTAAGGCTTTGTCACAATAACCCATAAGGGCGATTCACCCTTACGGGTGCTGACATTTCTTGTCCCTTGGAGGCCCGTGGGGTTCTGTAGAGGAAAGAGGGTTTTCTAAGTGCTTCATAAGGTTGGTGCAAGTGTGGCTTGTGCGTCCCGTAAGACTCCTACAGGACCCTAGGAGAAATTTCGGCAAAGTGGGGCATGTGAGTGTTGTGTGGGTCTTAAGACTGTTGTGAGGCAATAGTACGCCTTACTTGCGACACGATGTGTGCTACGCAAGGGTCACGTACGAGTCAAAATCTCGTACAGGCCACTTGCAAGGTACTCTAGTCGTTTGTACCAGGGAAGTACAAGTCTCTTACACGGCCCGTGCGACAGTCTTACGAGATGTGGCTCTTATTGCCGTGTTATATAACCTCGTCATCACCACTTCATCACATCGTACTCATCCATCGTCCAACCGCGGCGATGCCAAGACGGCTCTTACAACTAACGGAGCAGGAGGATGAAGAGGAACAAGAAGCTATAGTGGTGGTGTTGGCTCGCAATCGTTTCCAGGAAGAAAGAGAGAGAAGGTGGAGGTGTTGGTGGGTGGGGCCCTGGCTACACAGACGTTCAATGCTGGGATGCGTTCTCCGGGCCCTCAGTGTCATGGCCCGTCCCTGTCCTCTTGCTCTTTGCCTTCCCTTTGAGCGGCATCTCATCGGCGAAAACTTGGTGCGTACAGTACGGCTGCTACGACTTGTGTTTGTAGCAGCTTTTATAAGGGTCACGCGACCCTGGTAGCTCGCACGAGACATGCACGTGACCCGTAGGAACGACGCAATTGGCCCATCTGGGACCCGTGCATGGGCCGCAGGAATTCGAGGCGTGAGAAAATGGAAAAACCTGTATGACACACCTGCGTGATGCGTACTTCACCCGAGCTTTCCCCGTCATTTTCACTCAGTGCTGTGTTGTCGTCTGGACGTGAATATGAATAGGAAAAATAAATAAATAAAATCTGAAATTTAGAGATATAATTTTGAAACGTCTCCTGCAGTTTACTCTCATAAATGTAAAAAAAAAAAAAAAAAAACAGAAAACATGGAAAGAACCAAGTTTAAATTTCTTGATTCTTTTCATTATCATATCTGATATCAAAAATATTCAATGGGGATTTAGGATTTCTCATTTAGTAAACTAGATCTGACTAAAAATTAAAATTTTGTGAAATTTTTACTCAAAACATAATAAATCAAACTTAGAATTAGATATTAAATGGTATTGCCATGAAAAGTCCAATGCCATGCTGCCGCCCTCTTACACAAGATAAGACCCCATGCAGACACAGGGAGGGCATCTGACACACAAGGACATTTCAGCACATTTCAGCAGTTCAGTTTGCAGAGTGTTAACAGCTTTTACACAGAAAAGACCCCATGGAGACACTGGGAGGGCATCTGACACACCGCAACAGGTCATTTTGTTATTTGTATTCTATTAGCCTAATCATTCCCACTCCCACAGCTCTGGGTGCATGTGTGCTTCAGCGTAGTAGTTTTTTTGGGCGTGATAAACGGCTGTGTTTTGACTCAAAGGCGACTTGTGTTTGTGAGGTGTGTCCATAAATCTGCAACAAAAGAAGTGAAGTGAAGTGGAGTGCACTGGAGTCTCTAACCTGTCCAAGGAGAGGCCCAGCGCTGGGTACAATACTATTACAACACAATATAAGAACTGCTTCTATTGTTCAGGTGCTTAAAAGTAACTCGCCCACACACTGCTCATATTGGCAGCGGTTACTTCTGAGAATTTGTTGATGTTGTAATCTCAGGTGCCTATAACTCTATGGGAGATTCACAGTTTTTTGAAAGAAATCTCCAAACTTGTGATCCATACATGTTTCTCCTTCACATTCTTTGTTTGGGATTGTCTTCACATACTCATTTTAATCTTATGACTTAAAGTCCTTTCAGCTGACAACAATCACATCTTTGGGTTGGATAATAGCACCACTTTCTGAAGCGATTATGAAAGAATAATTTCACTTTAGTTTATTTGTACTGACAGACAAGACGTTTAACTTTGTGTTAGTTTTTGTTTCACAAAATGGATAGGCCCAAACTCCCACACAGAACTCTGACCCATCTTCAGCTCAGGTTAAACGTGAGGGACTCCACATTGAGCTGATGTTATGTTTGCTCAGTCTCCTGTCCTGAGTGAGTGACAGGCGGGTGCTATCAGGTCTATAATAGGACTCTACTCAAGAGGAGCTTTGGACTGGCTCTGGTATCAGGCTCTGGTAAAGAGTTGGGCGATGTCCCCTTAATTGGCACTTGACGATGCTTACAGTGAATCATCGTGATGAGCAGTGATATTGGGGAAGTGGGGTGTGTGTGCTGTGAATTATAATGGTAGTTAGCACCAACCATACAATCTCTTTACATGTATATTTAATGTAATTTTAATACTAAATACATCTTTCTACTTTAAATGTATAATTTGGTTGTTTTAGTAACCTAATGACTCATCCGGGGCTTTGGGACGTAAGGGAAAAAAGCTTCATTTAAGAAGAGTTGGTTCAATGGTGCAGCAGTTGGTTGTTAAAAAGGGCACTACTTCTGACTGATGTGTGCTTTACTTTCTTTTTTTTCCTTCATATTTGGCACTTTATATCAAAGGCAGCGCATGGTGCACATGCTCTTATTTTGATGAAGAACTTCACGTTTTTACTCCGTGGTTATCTGGATCGGCGAGAATCATAAGAGAACTTTACGCAGACTTGTTTGGATACATCTTTACGCACATGCACATGCTGGAGATATTTACCAATGAGGAGCCTTTTTTGGCAGAATTTTGGTTCATATTATCTGATTGGCTCAAATTTGACGCAGACACTGCAGGCTGTGACTGGATGTGGATTTATTATTATGCACTTTGGCTTTGAGACATGATAAACGCCTCACGCCGGATAGAAGTGTCATGCTGCAACTGTATCTTCAGCTCTTTTGTTTTACCAGTTAGATGTCACACTGCACTTTGTTTGGACACATGGAGAATGTGCTGAACATGTTAAACATGAGCGCTGTTTGTGCAGTACAATTGCACTGAGCACAGTAATGACGAGTGAGAAACACTAACAAACTAACACGTCATGTCTCTGCAGGCACTTAAATGAGCTGCATATTAGTTCTACTAATGATTTAATTTACAGTGCAATCTCTGCAAAGTTTTTTAGGTTAACTAGGCCTACAGAAGATCAGTGCATGTTTCTGACAGCAGGGCGGCTCTCGGTCATGATGTTGGGTCATCCATCACGATGGGCAATGTGACATTTTTTTTTTACTTCTGTCCCTTTCTCTTTTCCTCTCCGCCACAGTAAAGGCCACTCGTCCAGCACCACAGGGCCATGGTGAGCAGTGCAAACCACAATACTAATGCAGCTTAAAGTGTGTATTTATACAACTATAGTCATGATGCCGATGCTGCTGTACTCACAGTAGACGGTGAGGTTGAAGGCGGGGCTCTTCCCTGACGACAGGCTGTTGGAGGCGGAGCAAAAGATTGGCCCAACCAGGTCCGTGCGATACACAGAGGCAACAGTGAGGGCGCTAGAGGATTCAGTCTGAAACAGAAGAGGACACAAGACCACAGTCAATGATTAAAAAGCAGTTTTTTGTTTGTTTTGTTTTTTAAACAACTGAAGGATTTTAAGCTGAGAAAAAGTTTATGATCTAAAACAAGGTAAAAATCGCTGTCACCTGAACATAAGCAGTTTGTCATTACATTGTGCAAAAATATAATCAAAATATTGATATATCGTATCGTTTAATGTGATGATACAGTGGGCTGCTGTATCAATATATTGTCAAGAGTATGTGTTGGTATATTTAACTATATCATTTTGTTACAGCTACAGGTTTGTAATAATGTTCGAGATGTGAACATTAATAACAGACCTTCTTCTTCCATCGATAACTATCAGATTTTAGTAACATCCCTCAAAAAGGTGCTAATTTAAATGTTTTCTTGTTATCTTGTTAAGGTTCAAGTGTTGCACTGATCCTTTGGTTATAATATCCCACAGTATGGCATTAAAACATATCTATCTCCATGGAGAATGTTCCGAAGTATGATATTAACTTTATATTTCCATGGAAACATGCGGATGAAGTGCTACCTCCAGAAGGTTACACACTAAAAGTTGAATTTGAAAAGTGGGAGAGCCATGAGTCCGTCCCCTCACCTGTTTGACTGTGATGCGGTTTCCGTCTGGTACGATTGCCGTTGTGCCGTTGAGCCAGCTGAACTTGAGGAAAGATCCTTTGGCGGTGCAGGTCAGGACCACAGTGGAGTTTTTCTCTATGGCATCTGGAACATCTGATGTCACCAGAACATTGGACACCGACTCTGAGAGAGACAGAAGCAGAAGGAGGAATGAAACTCACTTTATTTAAATCAGACATATAGTGTGTAATCTATGACAGTGTTTCCCAAAACCTCGGTCGTGACCCTCAGGTGGGTTGCAGGAGATTGTTTGGGGGGGGGGTCGCCTTATCACAATCTGCATGTAGATTTGCAGTACACAGTTGTAACATGGACCTGTGACCTGTGATGTCATTCTGGATAAACATTTCGTCAGAATATCCTGTCCTCAGTAGGGCCAGTATTTCTATGCTTATTCCTTTCACTATTACATATACACACCAGTCAAAAGTTTTCAAACACCCTCATTTTTCCAAGTATTTACACTACCATTTAAAAGTTTGCGGTCGCCCAGTCAATTTAATGTTTTCCATGAAAAGTCAGACTTTTATTTACCACGATGAGTTGTAACATTAACAGAAAATATAGTCAAGACATTGACAAGGTTAGAAATAATGATTTGTATTTGAATTTTTATTTTTTTTCCTTCAAACTTTGCTTTTGACAAAAAAAAAAAAAAATCCTCAATTTGCTGTAATTACAGCATTGCAGAGCTTTGGCATTCTAGCTGTTAATTTGTTGACGTAATCTGGAGAAATTTCACCCCACGCTTCAAGAATCTCCTCCCACAAGTTGGATTGACTGGATGGGCACTTCTTGCGTACCGTACGGTCAACCTGCCCACTTCTCTTTCCACTCTGGTTAGAGCCTTTTGTGTTGTTCTCTGAAGGGAGTAGTACACACCGTTGTAGGAAATCATCAGTTTCTTGGCAATTTCTCGCATGGAATAGCCTTCATTTTTAAGAACAAAAATAGAGTGTCGAGTTTCACATGGAAGTTCTCTTTTTCTGGCCATTTTGAGCATTTAATCAGCCCCACAAATGTGATGCTCCAGATACTCAACCTGCTCAAAAAAAGGTCAGTTTTGTAGCTTCTCCAACCAGCTAAACTGTTTTTAGCTGTCCTAACATGATTGCATAAGGGTTTTCTAATCATCCTTTAGCCTTCTGATGCAGTGAGCAAACACATTGTACCATTAGAACACTGGAGTGACAGTTGCTGGAGACGGGCCTCTATACACCTGTGTAGATATTGCACCAAAAAACAGACATTTGCAGCTGGAATACTCATTTACCACATTAGCAATGTATAGAGTGTATTTCTGATTAGTTTAAAGTTATCTTCATTGAGAAAAACTGTGCTTTTCTTTCAAAAATAAGGAAATTTCTAAGTGACCCCAAACTTTTGAACGGTAGTGTATTGCAATTCAAGTCGTGCAAGTCCAATGAAGAGCTTGAAATGGTACAAAGGTAAGAACTGAACAGACAGAGGTAAAATAATAATAATAATAATAATAATAATAATAATAATAATAATAATAAATAAAAGATACAAAACACAAGTCTATGCTCTGCCAAAACTTTCTCAGGAAAAAAGAATAAGATTGTAAGCTTGAAAACCTGGAGTGTCCAGCAGCACAGTGTCCAGACTTAAACCTCATGGAGCTGGTTTGGGATGAACTGGACAGAAGAGTGAAGCAAACTACAAATGCCACACATTTATGGAAACTTCTGCAACAGACTTGGGAAGAACTTTCTGAACAATATTTGATTTCTAATGTAAAAAGAACGAGACACGAGTGTGTTCAGCTGTTCTATCTGAATGTGTTGTTCTAAAACTTTTGACCGGTAGTGTACAAATGTGTAACTTGGATTTTCTGTGCTCACAAAAATGAAGACAAAGCACAGAAACAGACTGAGTGTTGCTCCTGATCTACTGCTGCGTCTCCTCCTGCACCCGGACTGAACACACTACAAAAACACACACACACATGCCCATCTCTCTCATTAGAAATGTTGAAATGTCAAGACATGTTTTGTGTCATTTCTAATCTTTTTGTTATTATTTTATTGACTATTTTGTTCCAATATTGCTGCTTCAATTGAATGTTGAAAAGAAAAATAAATAGGCTACTTTTACGACGTATGGATCCTTTTGTTGCTACTTCAGTGACTGTTTTTCATTGTTTAAACTTGAGTAAATCTAATTGTTCAGAGAGATGATCATTCAGTCAGCAATAAAAATATCCTCATTAATGTTCAATAAGGCTCAAATCCACCTTTATTTTGTGATTTAAGAATAATGTCTATTGACTGGGTTGTAAAGGATTATGACTTTTAAAATATGGGTCCCCAGAAAAAATAAATAAATAAAAAATAAAACACTGATCTTTGACACAAGTGGATCTCTGTCTTTGTCGTTGTGTTTTTATCACCACAACAAAGCGCCAAATGCTGTGGGCTGCTCCTATGGATAGCTGCACAACACACTACAGCAGAGCTTTTTTTTTTTTTTTTTTTTTTTTATTCATTTGGACCAAAATGACCTTGTGACACTGCTGAAACTTACGTGTGTTGCTCATTAAGAACGTGTCAGAAAGAAGTAAGTGATGAAAGTAAGTGATTGAAGATGACTCAAACATGCACGAATCACAACTTCAATGAGAACGAAAGAGTAAAAGAGAAAGAAAACAACTATAACATGGGTTAAAACTCTGAAAGGTCGACTCTGCACAATAGGATCTACTCACGCGTACGTCACAAACCAGGAAGACGTTTGGAAAGATGCGAGTACAACTTCATGTGGGTTCTGTTCGCGGTAGTAAGTCTGACAAAATCTACGAAAAATTTGAAAATGTCCCAGCTTTCTTCATCTCCATGTCATTGTAGTGTTCCGTTATGTTCGGCTCATCAACAGTTCATCCTTTCTCCACTGACACACAACTCTGAGAGCACTGGGTACATGTGATTAGAAGAGAAGACTGACAAATTCCATATGATTCCAAACAGCACATACGTCTGCAGTCTTCATTTTACCACTGAGCACATTTACTTCTAATTGCAGAGATTTCTTTTTTTTATTCATTTAACCACTCAGGTTGAACTCAAATGCAACCTGAGAAGTCAAATGAATAGAAAAAAAAAAAATAATAATAATAATAATAATAATATTAAATCTCTTGAACCATTCTCAAAAGCAGACGTGGAGCAGACTTCTGGAACAGCTTAGACAACCATAAAGCTTGTACTAACTTGGTGCACTTCAAAAAAACAACATCAAAATCAGATCTTACAGAAATACTTAGAAGACCAGATCCGTTGTCTTCACAAGTAAACTATGACTATTGGCTGGGTACGTGCTTTTCTTTGACGTTGCCTTTTGTTTTGGTGTGATCGTGGACAAAGAACTTTTTGCCTCCTTTGTCACTGTTGTTGGTTTGTGCGACCATAAACGAAAACAAAACTGTCATCTTTAAAAAGTGAAGATAAGAACTAAAAAAAGATGGAACAACTTGAGAGATGATTTCTTTTTTTTAAAAGAAAGATAAAGCTTGAAAGATATAATGCTCTGGAATGAATGAAATAGGCATTCAATTTTGTTTGTTTTCATTTATATTTTGTCTCTTATATTTACAATAAGTCGCAAGTGAAATTGTCCCAAGAATTCCAAGAAACTGCTTTCTTCCTTGGAATTTTGTCACTGTTTCAGACGGTTTGGCATTATAAGTACTTTTTCTTCAGCCTAAACCCTTTCGGTCATGATCCATGGGGTTGTAGTCTGTGTTTTGTTTTGTTTAATAGTGCTGCAAAATGACCGAATAGAAAACTACTACTACTACTACTACTACTACTACTTCAGTGGATTTGATCGCAGTTGGTCGGTGAGCCCAGTGTCGGGAAACTACACCTGACGTTGTCATCGCATCTTTCCAAATGTCTTCCTGGTTTGTGACGTAAGCGTTAATAGAGGCTTTATCTTGTTTACAGGGGACTGAAATGTGCAAATATCACAATTTCATTCAAGTGAAACTAAACACTGAATCCACCTTTTTATTTATTGATGTATTTTTTGCTATTAAACTGTGTATTTGGTGTTTGAGTCACATTATCACTATTATCCCTTTAGTCCTCCAGACCCCACCCCTCCTCCCTTCCCACTCTCCCCTTTAGTCCTCCAAACCCCAAATATTTTCACTCTCCCCTTTAGTCCTCCAGACCCCGAATCTTTTCCCTCTTCATTTTCCCCTTTAGTCCTCCAGACCCATAATCTTTTCACTTTTCACTCTCCCCTTTAGTCCTCTAGACTTCGCCCCTCCTCCTCCTTCACTCTCCCCTTTAGTTCCCCAGACCCCAAAACTTTTCACTCTCCCCTTTAGACCTCCAGAGCCTGAATATTTTTACTCTTTACTCTCCCCTTTAGTCCTTCAGACCCAAATCTTTTCCCTCTTCACTCTCCCCTTTAGTCCTCCAGACCCCAACACTTTTCACTCTCCCATTTAGACCTCCAGACCACAAAACATTTCACTCTCCCATTTAGACCTCCAGACCCAAATCTTTTTACTCTTCACTCTCCCCTTTAGTCCTCCAGACCCCAAATCTTTTCCCTCTTCACTCTCCCCTTTAGTCCTCCAGACCTGAGCCCTCCTCCCCTCCCACTCTCCCCTTTAGTCTTTCAGACCCTGCCCCTCCTCCCTCTCAATCTCCCCTTTAGTCCTCCAGACCCTGAATCTTTTCACTCTTCACTCTCCCCTTTAATCCTCCAGAGCCCTCCCCTCATCCCCCCTCACTCTCCCCTTTAGTCCTCCAGACCCCTCCCCTTCTCCCCCCTCACTCACTTTTGCAGTTTTTATTTTCCAGAACACTTTATTGACCAAAACAATTCACCACAAAATCTGCAAAGTTTGTTCAAAATCTCTGCTCTCAGTGGCTCAGTCTGTTGAGCCGTTCGCCCTTAAACCAGAGAGCTGTCGGTTTGATCCTTGTTGTTCGTTTTGCATACTATCCTTGTGCCCTCGGGCCAAACAGCTCACCCCACCTGCCTCTGTAGAAGTGTTGAACTTTGCATTGGCAACAGTGACATGCTACGACACATTTAATCCTCCTTTTATTCTCCTCGGTCCAGTTCTCCCAGTCCTCTACCTCTCT